AGAGAGAGAGAGAGAGAGAGAGAGAGAGAGAGAGAGAGAGAGAGAGAGAGAGAGAGAGAGGGCATTGGTGCGGAATTGCAATTTTTTTTCTTTCCCCCTACTCTTGGTCCCCGCTCTTGGTCCCCGCCACACTCGCTGCGGGCAGACGTCTTGTTTAATTAAAATGCTAATCACTAATGTCATATTTATCAAGATTCAGAAAAATAATAAAGAAAAAAAGACTCATTAGTACACATTACAGAGCTGCCCGGTAAACCGCAGGCAGAGAGAGAGAAGAGGACAATATTGTAATTATATCTTCAGTCTTTGGTATGCTTTCGATTAAGTTTCTGCCTTTCCTCAGATGCATATATCTGCACAAGAATCGCACACATACCTCCGGTTTCTCCCACCCGCGCCCAACCATAAACAAGACTGCCACGATGCACCTGACCTGATGCCAAAGGAAAGCAGTTCCACGGACAACAATCTCCCATACAGGCATCCCAGCAAATCTGCAGGAGCACAAGGACACAGCAGCACAAACTATCAGCAAGTCTGTTTCATAAGCAGCCCCTTCGACTCGTGGTATTGCAACCACACTGCTCCTCTTTTGTCTCCCTCTGTGCCGTTGAAACAAGAAGATAAACAATCGAGTATTACAGCCTCATGCATCCCAGCAAATCTGCAGCAGCACAAAGACCCAGCAGCGTAGACTATCCAGCAAGTCCGTTTAAGCCGCCAGTACACGGCAGCAGCCTTGCTGAAAATGCAACTCGTCGCCTACGAAGATTTCAGAGGCTCGGCCTACTGGAGCACAATGGCTGGCAGCGCCAGCCAGAAAAGAAAGAAAGTGCGCTGCTGGCGATTCGGAAAAGATTCGTGCGCAGTAAGGCGCCTTCAGGCCCGGGTGTACTGGTGGTTTAATAAGCAGCCCATCCACTCACGTCGCAACCACGCCGCTCCTTTCCTTTCTCTCGCTGTGCCGTCGGTACACGAAGCTAAACGATAGAGTATTACAGCCTCAGGCATCCCAGTAAATCTGCAGAAGCACAAGGACCCAGCAGCATAGACTATTAAACTGTCATGCAAGTCCGTTTCCCGTGTAGCCCCTTCGACTTGCGTCCCAACTACACCGCTCCTCTCCGTTCTCCCTCTGCGCCGTTGGTACAAGAACATAAACAATTGAGTATTATAGCCTTCCTAAGGCCTTGTATGGTTTACTCGACTTGAATTGATTTCACTAGGACTGCGAGGCTACACCCGCTTAGCCCCTACGGGGCCCTATCTGCAACAAGGTCGGCCGCCCTAAGTGAAGGCAGGCACGACAGGCCCTTCGGGCCTCATTCTTCAGGGTACCCCGCAACGGGGAAATTCAGACAGTTGAGTTGCGCCAGTTAGTTGAATGAATCCAGGCCCTGGGGCGCCTGTGTAAATGAATGTGAAGCAGGCCCTGGGCTGGATACGGGTACCGGGCCAAACACAGGCCGAAAGCAGTTGGGCGCATGCAACCACTTCAGGCCCCAGGCCTGATCCCTTCGTGACTGGGCTCGTGCCTACCGGGGCCTACTGGAAGTCTCCTGAACTGGGCGCAGGAAGGCCACTTCGATATAGGGAAGGGCCTGCCTCCTCATTCGGCATTCGGGTGCTGGCTGCATGCTGCGTGAGCGCTGCTGCGCAATCCACTGGCTGGCTGGCACTCACGCTCTCACGGGCGAGTAGGAGGGAGCACGCAGCCATAGCCAAGCTGCGCTGCTGTATGCTAGGTGAAGCGAAGGGTGGTCCTTGGGGTGCTAGTGGCATCTGTGCGGTGTGGATCGGGGTTGTGAGTGTTACGAGAGACATACCTGGTGCTGAAGCGTGCGACATTGGTCGCCATATGCTCGTACTTCGGGAACACTGTTGATGTCATCATTCTGCTTCGTAGTATAGGCTAGATAGGATCTGCCACCTGTAGTCTGGGCGCCGAGCGCCAATA